CCCTCCCGTTCCCTCCCGGCACGGGCGTACACGGAGCTCGGGGGCGGCGGGGGGGGGGTACTTCTGGAGAAAAACCTGCTTTTTTCCTCAATGCGTAAGGCCATCAGCTCTGGCATCAGCATTGCCCTCAATGGGCAGCAGGCTAACGGCGTTCCCCACTCGTGAAAGGGGGCTGGAGACACATTCGACCATGTTAATACTTAGCGCAGGCGCTTAACTAATAATACCACTTTTTTCCATATCGTTTAATTTCAAAGCACAATGCTGTCTGTTGTGGATACCCACGCTTGATCCTGAAGAACTGCTGTAATTACTATTCACCTGCTGCTGCCTCTGCAATGAATATTCATGATGTCTTGCAAACCCAAGGGCAGCAGAGTTTCCCCAGGTGTTCATTGCAATCTAAACCCTTAATTTGCTGAGAAATTTACTTCAGGAGAATGACCTTGTACCAAGCCTGAGAATTTACATTTTCTAGTTGTTACATAATGGGTGATATTAGTGTAACGCGCCAGTGCAAGCGTTCCTTACGGATCCCAGCAAGAAAGTCACTTGGGCTCCATAAGGTGTTGATTAAAATACCGCTTATTAGAGATAACATGAGAAGGAAAAAGGGGATAGCAGAGATACTCTTCCGTGCCTTCAGCTGGTGGCAAACCCAAGCCGTACGGGGTCGGACAGACCCCTAGCCATGGCACGCTGCACTGATCCCGTCCACCGGCACTGCAGTCCTTGCAGCTGTTACAAGATGCTCTCAGAAGCGAGCAACTCTATTAATTTCTACCGCTTATATAAAAATACGCTGCTTCACCTCAAGTTAAGATGAGACACACAGGTGGCGTAAGTGCCGGGTGCCAAGCGGCACCTGCAGGCAGGCTTCTCCACCACAATTAGCAGGGGCAGCACTCGTTACTTAGGGCTTTGCATCTGTGCTGCACATCGATCCAAAGTCATTTTTTTCCCTGGTAGCTTCTCCTGGGGTTTGCAGAAGGATGGTGATAGTTTACAACATTAACAATAAACTGGGTGGGGATCATCGAAGGGGACCCTACAGCGCTACACAATGTACACGTAAAATAGCAACACTTCTTCCTCCTCTTCCCAAAGGAAAGTTCACACACGGAAGGCAAGAAATAAAAAATGAGGGAAGAAATAAGCATGTTGAGGAGTAGAAGACATGGAGTAATAGATACATTTCTCAGCCAGATGCTATCACCCTCACAGCTTACTCCCAAACTAATTATTATGCCAGAGAGATCAATTTTGAGCAGAAATCCCAAGGAATAAAGGGTGCCGACTTCTTCCAGGGAGCTTTTCTCAAGTAATAGATGGAGCCATGGGCAAAGTACAGAGCAGAACTGAGCTGCTGAGGCTGGCAAATGCTCACAGTGGAGAAACATATTGATTCAGCTTTATCCGTGAGAAATTCGAAAGTAAAGGCAATCCTAACCCACCTTTATCACAGACATGCTGTAAAGGGGGGAGATGCTGTCCAACACAGAACTCGCACCCTCTCACCTGACGCAGCAGCGGGTTCACTGTTCCTTTTTGGACCCTTCAGCTCTGTGCCCACATCTTCTACCAGAAATCTGCATTTACTGAACCTGAGGAGATGAAGCAAAGGGAGGTATCAAAAGAAAGCAACTAACAGAGAACGAGGCCACAGAGTTGAGCTTAGGAACTAAATTTTGAGTGTATTTGGGGAGCAGGGTGAAATCACAAAAAAGGATCTCATAACCACCCAGATCAATGATGAATAGGATTTTAAAAAAAGCTATTTCACCTGTCCTCCAGCTTCTTTTGTTCTGTGTTGCTCTGCTTTCTCGTTTCCAAAGAAGGTATTTAAAAAAGTCAATTTGATCAGACTCTTTGCTAAGACAAGGTTGAGCTGCGTTTCATACAATTAATCAGAGCGGTAACCAGCTGGAATGCTTTAAAAAAGTCAAACTCCACTGCGTTAGCTTAAAAAAAATCAAACTCCACTGCATTAGCCCCATCAGAGCATTCACTCCACAGTAAGAAACAACATGGCTGCTGTGGTAAACTGGAGGCAGGACAGTGAAAGAAACAGCTGGATTTTTCCAGGTTCCGGGAAAGCACTTTTAAAATATGAGGTGGAGTCATCAGTAACTCCTGCTTCCGACAGAGCTGTTGTGTTGAAGTGGGACAAGAAGGACGTGTCACTGCAATGCAACATGCTCCCTTGAAGGGCTGCAGCAGCTCAGCTGAGCAAAATGCATTCTTGAAGGCCTCTCCTTTACAACGTTGGTTGTAAATACGTCCATACGGCTCACAGCAGCGCCATTTGCTGCCGAGGTACTTCAGATGTGTACTGAGCCAGGCAGAGCCCCACCAAACACGAGTACGTTGCTTCTGGCAGTGGTGTACTCTGCAGGCACATCCAAAGAGATCAGCCCTGCACCCGCTAGAAGGGTGGCTTCAGTGAATATTTTTCTTGGACGCAGGCTTTTGAATGTCCTCAACTGGATCACAAGGGGCACTCAGTGTGTTAAAACCCCGTTTGATGGATGAAGAAAACTGACACAGAGCAGTGAGTGTCTTGTACAAGGCCACCAAGACAATGTCACAGCCTTGACTGAACTTCTAAGTACAGCTCGCAGCACCTTCAGACTACAGATTTTTTTTCTGTCATTTTAAGTCACATTTATTACAGAAATTGCCCTGTACTACAGGAACCTGTAATTCTTTTGATCTTGCTCTGAGTTCCTTACATTGACATTGATTCTGCCATGCATATGGAGGCCACTATCAGACTTGCTTTCAGTGGTGCTACCCCCAGACATCGAATTGGTCAGGTTACTGATAGACTTTCTACAGGTAGAAGAGTGGCTTTCTAAAATTATTTTGCAGTCTGGAGACCAGTTTGAAGATCTTCAGTTTGCAGGGAAAGGTAAGCTAAATTGTAGGTAATGGTGTGTCCCATGCCAAGCGATTCCTGTAATCTTATTTTTATTAGTCACCGTTTAGGAAGTGTTTAACAGGCAGCTAAAGTCTACCACAATAAAACCCTATGAACGAAACAGTGAAATCTTGTGTAACGCAGATGAAAATTACATTTTGTCTGGGAAACACTTGAGAAAAAAACAATTTATTGTGCCATTTTTACTGA